GCTGTTTCATCCTTATTGGGAATCATCAGCAGTGCGCATCTCACGAAACTCCAAAGAGTCTCGAACCCGCGTCCTCCCGGCTAGTACTTTGAACACTTAACCGTTCGGCCACGAGTGGCTGATCAGCAGTGTGATTAACTCGCACTCAGACAGGATATAGCGCCGCTCATCCTTCAATCGCGGGATCCACATCACGCAGTCCCAAGTGTTGACTGGTTCCTCGAGCAACGACTTCTCAGATAGAATTTTAGCTCATCGGGTGAAGTTTATTCTTCCACTGAGCTACTTATCGATTGTTGGTAACATAACCACAATGAAAATGAGATTTGGGATTTTTGTGGAGATTTCGTCCCGTGAAGGGAGCCAATCTATCCTCACACTACTAACGCTAAGCCTCTAGTGGTGCCAATAATCACTTTGTGAGCATCGTTTGACAGACCAATGTGAGCGGCATCTGGGACTGGCCAGCCATATTAACTGTGTCTTGGATGTGTGATTCGCTGCCAACAGACAGCGTACATTATGAGTCTGAACAGTCCAATTGACCCTACGACTTTGAAAACTACGGGCTACCAGGTGGGCATTCTGATGGCTTGAGTACTACCGATTCCTGCGAACTCTAAAATTTAGGGGGGTATTAAACCCCAGTCTATGTGATGCATTTTGGAGTTATGTTATTGGAGAAAACCGATGGAAGAATGAAACACCAATTAGTTTCTCACATGCTCATTAGTTAAATGTGTATTTTTGATCCAAGATCAGCATATGCTAATAAATGGAAAAGGTATGGAACCGTTTCAGAAGAGCTTGGTAAACAATCGGTAGTTTTTATTTGGGTAACGTTTCGCCTTTGACACAGAAGCTTCATCAGGCCAAGTGAACAGGTCACCAAATTGGCCGGGTTATAATACAGACGGAGAACGAATCAGTAAGTCCTCTTCACACTAGATCAGTGTTGAGTGTCGACTAGTGTGGGTGATAAAATGTTGAATTGATGTGTTGGAGGAGTTTCAAATTATCTTTGAAATGTACTACTCATAAGGTTGCTGAAAATCAGTCGACAGCCCACGACCGGTTTCGCCCTTCTTGGGGCTCATCAGGCAGGCGCAGTCCACGGATTTCCGTCAGCCTTATGTTCTACTTGAAACCGAATTGCACGTAATTAGCGAATATACACTCATTTGCAAACCAATTTGGTTTTTTCGAGAGATTCACATGGAACCCAGCTGAATCTCAAATTAGTTCCGATCGTTTTTCGTTCCTTAAATCTTCCGCTCACGGCGCTTCAATCGATGATTCACCTCGGTCGATTCTCCTTGGTCTCCGTGGGCATGTGAATGTTACGACAATTTAGTTGGGGGGAGGGGAGGTGGGTAAGGTTGAGTGGGATCCAGATGATGACTGCTCTTCCCTCTGATTATCGCATTCCAACATATGTTAGCTCGAGTGATCCAAGACCGTTCTCCACACGCTTGCCAGTTCCACGCCTTCCATTTTGTTAACACTGGACCGTAGTCCTCGCCTGGGAACCTCAAAATTGCCATCTCAACGATCACTTGGTGTTGCGGAGCTGTCCATCATCAAACGACCACCGACTAGAGTTATATGAAGGTGTTTTAAAGTTTACTGTTATCCCATTCACAATGAAATGCATTTCACCAGATGAATTCATTCTCGCGCACTCACTTTCGCCATATGATTTCCAAATAGAAAAGCTTTATGCATTAATAGAAAACCGGATGAGGAGTGGTTACCTTAGAATTGAACGTTTGGACACGTGAGGACTCAACTTATCAATCACGGGCATGACTTATGCATGCAGTGAATGGCTGTCATGCATCAAAGCTGACGTCTTCAGTTCGTACCCACCCAGTTTCCCCTTCCCTTAAAGCAATTTATAATGCGAACTAGGTGATAATGTCATCACGTGCCAATACTTCGCCGTATCCCTCACGCTTTCCTTTTCCGGTGACCGAAACCGTAGCAGTTGGGACCAATGCGTCCTCGTTTTCATTGTTTGTAGCTGAAAAAACTATACAAAACTGGGCTGAACAGTTCAAGCAGATATCGTTCTTGGATAGATTGATAGAAATCACGCACCATCCAGACCGAAGCCTAACCATGTATTACATAGATGAAGGGTTGCCTGCTCGCTGTAGAGCTTGCAAGCGGAAACAGACTACTGCTAACTCAGTTCACCATTAAGTAGTATCTGGAAATTTCACTCCTGACCCAAACTTGGAGAATAGCCTTCTGTAGATCCCAGTTTGCACTGAAAAAAAACATGGAAATTAGTGCGCCACTGCTTAGTATCTCCCTTGGCGTTCGTGTCTCTTCCAAGCCATCAACACGTGATCTATGGGGCACGCTCTTAACGCCTCAGTAATATGCACGTTCCTGGTTCCTGAAACTCGAATACATGCTCTGAGCACAGCAATCGGATTTACATCACCTTCGTTATCCAGCTGACACAAAATTCGGACAATTATGCGGCCACTATAGCGTGAGTAGGCGTAGCACTCAGCTCCCGAACTTGGTTAGGTCCTCGCGAACCGCTGACCTCGAAATATTCGTTTCTGTGAGAATCCTCACCGACCAAACTAAAGTGAGTTCTTTGTTAGTAGACCCTGCAGTTCTGGTTCTGCGGTAGACACGTTTTGCCGAGAACTAACCACCGTATTATCAAGCACGAAAAGGTCAATTATTGTCCTCGTCACCGGAGATCCCAGTGCCCACCTGGAATGTTTCGAGTGATCGGAGGCACGAATTGGTTTTCTAAGTATGGATTCAAGCTGCCGTCTCTTGCACCCCGGTGCCAATCGCTCCTTAGTAATACTGGATTGGGACGCGATGGACGCCTTTGCGCTATCGTTCTCCTACGAATAAATGTTCAAGGAAGCCGACTGATTACACAGGTACTATGTGCCTTTGATGATCCCTATTCTTGATCGTCAGATTTCGATGAACTTTCTGGTCCACAGCTCAGTCATCAGACAATGAAAATACTTAGAAGCAGTATCCTCAGGAAGTGAGTGTACATCGTAACTTAGACGAGTTAAGCACTGACATTCTTGCGGCGGGAAACTCTGAATGAGCGCTCACTAACTGAATTTAGGTGAAATTCGCATCCCGCACTACTACTGAAAACAACACTTTTGCGAAATGAGTTTACTTCCTACAGCCTTGTCTGCTGAAATACGTGTTTTCACACGTATCACAGGGACAAAATGAAACCAAATGGAAGACTAGTTACACCGTTCACGTGACCACTGAACAAGAACAGAATAACTCCGATGTCTTTTTGAGCAAAGAGCATAGGCCCGAATCGATTAACCAATATTTCCTCGAGGAATATCAGTCTATGTGGACAACTGCTTCGTCCTATGACCCGGGTAAAGTTCACCTCTGTGTCCTGTCCTGGCAATCGATGACTTGATTTTCGATTCCTTCAAAGTTCAATCGAGATCAACCGACAGGGTACGAATTTGTTCGGACAGTTATTCTTCCACTCGCGTTTCTGTAATCCCCATAACTGCGAATCAACTGACTAATGCAATCACTAGTTGACAAAACTGATGTTGTGGCTTAGATCGACGGCATGCACGCGTTATGTTCGGCGCACGGTCAAGTTTATTTTGACCAAAAGCATGATCGACAGTATATGAAATCTCCAGGTAACCTGTTTGGTGCTGTGATTCGCGTTCGTTTTTGTCTCCCCACTGAGGTCGTTCTCGTCAACATTGTCGCGACATTTGGCGTTTGCCTGCAGCATCCGTTTTGGCAATTCAGCCCCATCGGTGACTCTGTTTGGATTGCTAATAACGTTTGAACCAAAGTATGCTTGTTGTACACGGCTGATCTGAGATCCCTTTCAACGAGGCTTTCAGTAGAAGTCAAAATGAGGAACTTTTTCCATTTCAAATCAAGGTTTCGGTGGGGCGTGTTAAAAAGAGAGTAAATATCGAGCCTGTTATCTTTTGTCAAGAGTAAATGCCGGTTATACATTGGTAGTTTGCCGAATGTAGTCTGATGACGACTGGGGACGATTGGCATTTAAAACCTCTGCCTATGTGGGCCACGGAAGAATCCCCATGGCGACATCATCAACTTACCCGATAGCCTGAAAGTAGGATCTGGCATTCCTAATGCACAGTAAAATGGATCTTTTTGATTATAAGTGCGTGGGCGAGTTTCTATGTAATCACATTGTTAAAAAGAAACAATACACATCAAAGTGAAACACGATTGTCTGAGAGGTATCAAAGTATGATAACTGTTCATAGGTACTTTACAAACGATGTTTGTTTGGTAAGAGCGATTCGGACAGGATCAAGGACATTTCCCATCCGCTTGGCCAACTGGTTTACACCGATCTACCAATCGGGTTCGCCAGTCATGCATTGTACTCTACTTGAATCTTGTTGTCCGAATCACACCCAGAGAGATAGCTACCGTACCACCGGAAGTAAGCACGAGGGCTGGTATACTGTCAGGTTAGTCAGGCCTAGACCGGAGCAGTCGAGCCGCAGAGGTAGGGTTCTACTGAGATCTCCTGGTCAGTAAATTCAAGCCCTAACCACTGATTTATCTCGGAGAGATATTAGCGAATCTGGATCGTGCGGATGACCTTGGACCCTTACGAGCGGTCAATTCAACTTTCAATTTATCAGATATAAACCGTGTACCATATGCACATTGGTTCCAGCTGCTACAGCTTCGATTACCGGAGAACGGGAGAGTGTGGGGGCATAGAACCAAGGTTTTGAGGCGATGGCGTGTTTAGTTTGTTCGGAAATTGGGTAGCTATCCACTGAAGGCGATAGGTTTGATGCACAAGCACCACTGACTGCGCGATAGGGTCATCTCCGCCAACGTAATTAACCACTGGTGATTTGAGTCCCGAGGTGGCAGTTACCGACTGGACTCGGTTTATTGGTTAGGGTTTTCATACTTCGTTGGCAGGTCATACACTATCTACCTCTCGGTCGCTTACACTCAACACAGGGCTGAGAGAAAAGACCTCTGTCAGGCAGACGGTCTTCTGACATACGGAGTACATGTCCCAACCAGCGTAACCTCTGGAGCCTAAGTAATTCGTCTGTCGCGGGTGGGCCCCTTCTTCCTAGGACCAACTACCGTATCCGAGCATTCACGCGAGACCTGACCAATGCTTCGGAGACACCGATAATCGAGCACTGACATCCTTCTAATGTCCTCTGCGTGTAGAGGCCACGTCTCTGATCCATAAAGCAGTATGAATCGCACTGCCTCAGCGCATACTCTGCCCTTGACAGACGAACTGACGTCTTTTCGGAGATTGACAAAAGCTGTTCTGGCCTTCTCGATTCAAAAGGTAATCTCATCTCCAGCCAGTCCCCTGGAACCTATGCAGCTGGCCACGTAAACAAATTTACCTCCCACGTCCATTGGCTCGCCTGGAAAGCATGAGGTGTGGGTTTGATCCCACCTAATCTTGTAGCAGCACTTTGCAGGTGTGAGGCGTATTTCAAACCATGTAGCTAAGTCATTTAGGTTAGTTACAAAGGTCCGCATTTTTGAAGGATCTGAGCACAGAGTCTGTGGCCGAATGTCCTCGAAGCATTTGGACTCCCGAGGTTTCAGAGTCAGGCAAGGAAAGTTCAACAAAGTTGGACAGGAAAGGTGGAAGAGGGCAGCCTTGTCTTATACCACTGGACGTAGTGAACTCAGGCGGAAGCTGTATAATCGCATAGAGTGTCCTCATATGAGTCAGAAACCTGGAAGAGACATTAGATCGCCGGACACTGCTCTGACGATCGACAGAGCCAAAAACAGCTTTCAGATCAAGAGAAATGACTAACGTGGGGTTTTTAAAAGAGTGGCGCTGTTCCAGAATTTGCCTCAAGGTAATAAGATATGGTAGGTGCATCCTCGGTCAGGACGAAACCCAGCTTGATTCTCACAGACGTCTCTCCCGATAATCGATCAACCTGTGCGAAATGCCACAGAGCAACTTAGATGCTATGGATACCGGGCTGATGCCAGGATGGCTTTCACGAGACGTTGTTGCGCTCTTTTTGAAAACCAGGATGAAGGTCGAGGAGCTTTAGTCGGCTGGTATTCTGTTTTCGCTCCGAATCTTCTGCAATATGGTTGTCAGCTGTTCACCAGGACATGACTACCTCGTTTGAAGAGTGCGGGCTGCAGATCATCAAAGCCAGGTGCCTCGTTGCGCCGGAGGATCGATGTATCAAGCTGAATTTCAGATTCTCGGTAGTCTGTCATGTGAATTGGATTGGCATCACCCAGTGAATACCAAGTCACACGTGTTGGAATATCATGCTCACTACACATGACCCAAAGTTCGGAAGTTGTCCTCACAGGAACAACCCTCCCCCGAGAGGACCACTCCAAGTTGATCCGTTGAAAAGCACTGGAATGGCAACCCCCCTCTAAGAGCCACTTGGTCCAGACAGACATGCTTCACGTACAACCAGAAACCAATAAAAACGAAGAACTGTGGTTTGCAGCGACTGTTCTCCGTAATTGTTCATCTCCACTCATACGGCACAAATTTAACCGAAGCTGAGAATGAATCACTCAAATGACTGGACTAATTCATAGGTAGGGAAACGGTACGAAAGATATTGATTGAGCAACAACATACGATCAGAAGGAACAAAATGCCGAGTGTGCCTCATCACTACTTATTCGCTGCACGTCATATGATGGGTGCGCGCAAATTACCATAAAATCGTGTCCAGCTTGCGTCGCTCTAGGGACGCCTATCGAAACTGTAGTGAGTACAAGTCGAGGGCTGTGGCCGAAACCCTAGAGCATCGATTTCGTTGAAAGCTGCACATCTTGAATGACGAATAGTCCTTCAGGTAACATATCCATTACAACCATGATGGCAAACTTAACAGCACAGTGCGAGCATGAATGTGTTCACACCATTCCGAGTAAAAAAAACATCAAATGGCCATCGCTGGGAACCAGGCTAACCAATCGATTTATCAAAGACTTATGGGAAAAGTGCCTGAAAAACACCAAGTCTAGTGCTTGTTCAGTACCTAAAACACGACAAATACCGCCACCTTCATAGGCACTCCTGGGGTTCACTACTTGGGAAGAGGGCTTTGGTGAGCCTTAGACACCATACAATTACACCTCACTCGGTGTGACCTACATCTGTCTAAGTAGCGTTACTGTGTAACTCAAGAACGTGGTCGCTCAACCTACCGTATTGACTGGGCAGACGTCAAACATTTAAAACGAACGCGATTTTCACGTGGAAATAAGCATTCAGCAGTAGCACCCTCTCAATGCCGTGCTACCACAAGGAAGCCCGATGGCTGGGACACTGCCAGGTTGCCTAGACAGGGGAGTCGCGAGACAGAGGTCGGGTTTGAACTACGCACCTTCCTGTCAGTAAATTCGCGCACTAACCATTGAGGTATCTCGCCCGCACGTGGGTGACCTTAAACTGAGAATGACAGACAGCAGTCTCAACAAGCCACTTGACATCCCATTGAAAATCGTATTGTACCACATTGTCAAAATATGACGAACATCTCTGCTGCGGTTTCATAAGCTGTCCAACTGGTTTAGCCGTATTCACTCATCAATTCTACCAGATGCCCCCAACGACGCACCTGAGTCTACGTACGATGTGGCACCAACAATCAGGCAATCAGTCCAGGTTGAGAGGCAATTTCGTTGCAAACATCTTTACAGCCATCGAGGTGAAATCCGTGCGCGGCGGAATAGCGGTGCGTCGTAACCTAGCGGAAGCGACCATAACTTGGTCCTACCGATGGAACTATTTGAAGCGCTCCCCAAACTGAATCATCTCTCCACACGTAAACTGAAGCCCAGCGAGAGGCAATAACCGACAGTGAACGCAAACAATAAACGAAGGGCATGGATGTGTATGAACATACGCATTCGCGTAATAACTACAGATGGAGAATCATGCGAACAGATTCGCAAGAGACAAAGTGAAGGCAGTCGAGTATGCACACCGTGAATAACATGGGGTTGATGAACAGAGTCAATAGTAGTGGTAGAAAAAAGGAGTTCTTCTGTACTCGGGTGTAAGGCGTAGGATAACATCATAATCATTGCCGTCATCGCAACCACCACCACCACCACCAACAATATGCTGTGTGCAGATGTGCGTGTGTGTGTGGGGGGGGGGACGAACTGTCGTGTGGTATAGCACCAAACGTACAAGTGTGTTGTTATTCTGTGTACAATGATGTTCAAATCGAGGTTGGTCACATTACCGGTATGGACAAAAACTGATGAAAATGACTTGAACGTAGAAGACAGGAGGAAACAAGGCAAAAATACAAGGAGCGTGAGGTGGTGGGTTACTGCAGCAATGTACAAAGGTGTGTGGGGTCAGTCTGAGTAGAAAGTGGGAATGGTGGGTCACAGCAACGCTCTGCACAACGGCATCAAGATATAGACATTTGGTTGGAAGTGTCATCAGTTCGCCGAGTGGGTGAACCGCCACGATGGATGGAGGAGTCGGTATCTGTAGTGGGAGGTTCCGCAGGTGGATTACTGGGGTCTTCTTCGACCGTGGAACATGGAGGTGGAGCGTAACCATAATCCCACCTAGGAATTTCTGGAGTTTCGACTTGTACAGAAGCAACTGGATCGTCGTTGGACGTGGGATTTAATTTGGGGAGTTGGGAGCTAACAGTTTCGTCTGGACTGGCGTGTTCCAGAATCCAGCGAGCGTGAAATGCGTGCCATTTCCGTGGGGATGGTCCACGCAACGAATGCTGCAGCAGAGTTTATTAGAAATAGAGGAAAACTGATCAAGTAACCTTTGATATGCACTCGTAATCGTCAGAATCCCAGAGCACAGGTAGCACAGAAAACAGGCACGTACAAAAGTCTACCTGAAGAACACTCT